CTCAAGATATGGTTCTTCTTAATCTCTGTTAAGAAAGCTGCTTCCTTCTGCATGAGAAAAGTATCTGTTAGTCCATCTAGAATGATCACAGTCTTTTAATCTTGTGGTAGGGCCTCACCTGGGAAAAGGGAGTCACGTGTGCCAGTCTTCATCTTACATCAGTATTAAGTTAAAAACAAGGAAGCAAACAAAAAATTCAACCAGTGTCATATGCAGGGATCATTTGCAGTCTGATCACACTTCTTGTGAAGCACTGGTACTCTACAACCTGTAAAATCAAGAGCTTGGTTCAATTACTTTAAATCAGCAGTTATCTTACACAATTTGTATCTCAATTAGTACACCATGCCTGTGTGGCTCACCAGAGCTGGGCAAACTGACAATATAAAATAATCCTTTCAAGGCACCAAGTAGATGCTATACAAGAATACAAAATGTTGAGAAATCTGGATCAGCAGACCAGTATTTTCTCAGAAGACTGAACAATAAATGGAGATCGGAATCTCAGTGATGCGTATTTCATGGATGACTGACAAATCACATATGCTACACAAAGTAGGCACTGTCAGCCAAATGGCTCAATGCTAACAGCCCTGGATTTTTACTGTAAGTGCAAATATTGGTACTACTCACTCTACATCATTGCTATTTTGGGGAAAGTAGGTATTTCAATTGCATAGAAATAAAAATACTTGGTAGGTCTAAATTAAACAACATTAGAAGGAAATACTTGGGAAAAACTAGGGATGGTCTTTAGGCTGGCAACAGAGCAAGGCTGTTTTGGGTCAGACTAATGATCTTTATAATTATGTATCTGTACTATCACTGGCTGTTCTTACCTATAGAAGTAAATACTGCTAAAATCCTTGACTTTGAGACTTCTGAGGCAAAAGTGAAGCCCGAATGACTATATTTTGTTATGAGGGAAAACATAGTTTTTAATTTGAAATCTTTCAAGTGTTTAAATTAATGAACTATACCCTAGAGTTTATAGAAGGTCTTGCTTTAGCTTTTCTCAAACAGAGAAATTTTGTATGCATTGACTGAATATTACTTCCTCCATTATTTTATTCCTTTTCCTTGGTCTTTAATCCCATTCCTAAAGTATTTTTCCTTGATCCTAATTTTGTCCTAAGCTCTAATTTTTTGAGATAAGTTGAAAGACTTAATGCAGTATTACAACAGTAGATGTTATTGTTTTGTTTCACTGGCTTCATATTAGAGTTCTAGAAAAAAAAATTACCATATTCTCAATGTTGAATATGTAATAAATAGAACGGTCTTTTAAAAAGATTTACCACTGGCTCTCAAATAGACGGGTTTTTTTCTCCCCCTTATATTGACTTGGAGCCCATACGGAGCATGAATGACTCATATAATTTCTTCAATAGATTATTTTGAATGTAACATCATGAAATTATATCTACATTGTTCTGCTCATCGCTTCCCTGGGTAGATCTCACTGATATTTCTTATTACCTCCTCTACTTTTATCTAAATTGCATATTAGCAAGTTTATCAGACTGTATGTCTGATAACAATATCACAGAATCCCTTAAGTTATTACATAGATATAAATCTTTAACAGTCTTTTGTATTAACTCAGAGAAATTCCAAGTCTTTACCAAACTAGTGATAGCCAACATAATTTTGAAAAATCAGGCAAATAACCTCTCATCTGTATTTTTAAAAGTTGCATTTCTAACAGGCTACTACAGTAAATGAAAACATCAAATCCAAACCCCTAATTGGAAATGACCCTCAAACTTGGTTAAACAGGAATCTATATTTTCATTTAGAGAAATGGAAAGACAAACAGTAGCTGAAGGCCACTGTTAAATTGTGTCTTAACAAACTTTATAATTTACCAATTTAAATAAAATTTGTCACTTAAGACTTCAAGTCTTAGACTCATAACACTAATATGAAACCATTGAAAAAAATTAATGATGCATGTTATTTTGAGAATCTTCAGCTCAACAAAATTTGCCTTAGCATATTAGAACAGTTTACTACAAAGTGAAGTAACAGCAAATGTTTCCAAAAGTTTTGTAGAAGCAATAATCTAAGCAAATAATTCTCAATATACAAAGCAACATAATTCCTATTTTCATTATGGAGTAATTCTTCTCTAAAATATACCCTGTGTATTATTTTTTTCAAAGCTTTCCTTAAAAAAATTTCTACATAACCTTAGAAGACTCAGAAAACTTTGGAGACATCAAATAGATGTGAAAATAGACATGGCAAATACCCAAGAGTCTCTGTGAAGAAAAGCCCAATAGCAAACAATTAAGTACAGCATTTTAATAATTTTCTCAATATCCTCTGGATAATTAGGGAATGGATTCAGTGTAGAAAGCTGAAATGTCAGACAGATCCAGGGAATTTAATTGAAGGTCTTTTACAAAATACAAGAACACAAATAAATGTGCTTTAAAACAATACAAACCCAAACAAAATTCCCAGCATGAACCAGTAGAATTGCTCTATTCAGAAGGAATAACATAGGCCTTATTCTTAGTTTCTCTTTGTAAGGGAAGGTTTTGCACTCAAAGATATAACAGTGAAACTGAAAGAATGTCAAGGCTGGTGCAATTCATATTTATTTGGGTAACAGTATACTAAAGAGGTTTTTAGATTCATTGGAAGAACTCCAACAAGGCTGATTTACTGCTCAAAATATAAATGGCATATAGATCTACTTTCAAAAGCCCAATAGTAGATTTGCAGCTAATTATTTGTTTTTACACAAAATTGATAGAAAACATTTTCATAGGCTAATCATTTTGTGTTCTTTTAAAAAAATGTTAATTTGTCAGTGCTACTGGTGTTTTGGGTAATGCAGGTGTCTAATTCTATGCTCCTCTTCATCATTGATAAGAAGCTAGCAGGAGCAACAGGAAATATTTTCAAAAACAGTGGAGTGGGAAGACATGCATGTTCTGTGGTAAAGGGCACACTGAAATGGGAAATAAAGTAAAAAATAGAAGCATACAGTTCACTATTTAGTATCTGATAAGGGTAGAATACAAAGCAGATAAGCACTCTATAAGAAACTTCATAGTAGAATGTTCAGGTAGGTTACTAATGCAGGATGCAGAAAAGATGGATGTATTCTTGGCATGAAGCATGAACAAGTGAGTATTTAAATGAATTTTGATATGAAACTACTTAGTTAAGCTCCAAGTTATTGGCTGAAAATACAGAAGGAATTTTCTCATAGTAGTATTGTATTTTAGCATGTGTGGTCCTTTCTGCATGAAGTTAACATAAATGATAATAATAAAAAAAGTTGCTGGCCTCACAAGCACTCATCACATTTGTCTTGCCCTGGTTGGTTTCAAGAGTAAGAATCAACAAGCAACTAGTGGTGATAATTCTCCTTCGAGGTGGAAAAAAATTACCAAAAAAGCCCTGTTCAAGTAACCAACCAACCATCCAAACCCGAGGAAAACTTACTGCTTTATGTTGCTCTCAGCCACCCCCTGCCAATATCATGCTTCAAATATTTAGCTACATTGTTCAGCTTGACAATCTACAAACCCTACATACTTTCCTTTGTCTCTAGAGAAAAGGAGAAGAGCAAATTTCAAAAGACACAGAAAGGCCTTTCATGTCAAGTACTGCCACTACTAGGGTCCAAAAAATATACTTTCTGAGCACAAGGTATAAAATCATACTGACACAAAAAATCCCTACTGGCTAAAATATTTCAGTAAAAACAAAAACAAAAACAAAACCTACCAAACCTCAAACCCCCAAACTAACTAATCCCAAAAGTGCAGAAAGATACCAGAAAATTAAAGAAGAAAACAAAAGATACTACATTCTTATCTGTCAAAGGTAACCAGCAATTAAAGAGAATTCTAATATATCTGTATTTGGATACTTTTAGAGCCTATAGCACTTTTTAGGGGGGAAGAGGAGGATGGAAGGAAAAAAGGGGCCAGGTTAGGGTAAAAAGGGACTCCCCAATCAGCAACTCTTGGGATCAGTCCATTGCTTATTTTAGCTGATGTGTAAAATCTACAGCAACAGGAAAATCTATGAAGCTTTATTTTTTTTGTAAAATTAATTTAGCAATTGTGTGTGAATATCAACATTTGAAGGCCACAAAATAAAATAATTTCATTACTATTTTTTCTTTTTTTTATGAAGACCTTTGAGAGTAATTTCTCCTGAAAACATTAAATCTTGCTGATAAAGCAGGACTGATGTATTTTATTTTAGAATAATGTAAGGTGACAAGATCACATGAAAGAAAAGGGATTATTAGAAAGTAAAACAATAAAGATAGCAAAAATTCAGAGATTATATTTTCTTCACTTGTGTACTTTACAAAAAAAAAATCTGAATTTTAACTGAAAGAATAAAAAAACATTTTTAAATATCTCTGACAAATGAATGGAATATTTGTTACTGTTACAGAAATTCTTAGGACTCAATCTAATGTGTATCATGAAGTAATAATAATTAGGCATTTTCTCTTGTGTGTGACTTTCATGTTGTGTCACACATACACATAAAAATCCCCTTGGATTTTATCTGTAAAAAGAAAGTGGAATGTATGTTTGTAAAAGCTGTTTATTAAATATTGCTTGTAGTACTGCAGTGCTGCATCTCAAGTCTGGGACTATGATTTAATTTTGCTTGGTGATCTAAAAAAATTAAATAAAAGACACAATCCTTATATTCTTGTCAAAACAACAAGAACTTTTTGATTCTGTGGGCTGTATTATGAACTGCAATAGGAAAAGGTGTGAGTTGCCAAAAGAACAAGGAGGCTCAATATATATCTAGGAGAGTTTTTCCTCTACTTTCAGACTCCTTAACTGTTAAAATTTTTCTATTGCTTGGTTTACAGTTTCAGTGATGTCATAGTCAGTATACTTTCTTTTATGTAAACATCAAGGGAAATTAAAATGTTAATCACATTATTCATGTAGCCCTTTGTCGTGAGAATCACCTATGGAAGATATTACAATACACATTTTACATTGCTAAGAAAAGATTCAAGTCACTTTATTTTTAAAATCTTTATTAGACATTAAATATTATTTCATTTCCTTTTTAATTATTTGAAGTGTGGATTTAAAATGAAGCTGAAACAGAGTGGTTATTGTAACAAATCTAGGGAAAGAGATACATGTACTTTTAAAATACATAGTGATCATAGCTACAGATACAGTGATCAAATCTAGTACATACAGTCTTACTTTTCTTTTTATTAAAAAAATAATCTATCCTACAAAATTAATTTATCTTAATGATAACAAATTCTAGATTAGAATTTTAAAGATTTTTCAGGACATGTGATAATTGTATATAAAAAATGCACAGCATCTATACATCCATTATATAAATATAGTTTTTATAATAAGACAATGGAAATAGGATGATAAAACATCACTTTTCTTTAACCTTTCAGGGTAACATTTCTTCAATAAAGCAGAAGGGTGATTGCAGCGAAGCTTTCTCACCATGTCAAGCACAAAGCTCGAGCTTTTACACAGAGCTTGCAGGCCTTGGAAATACATACAAAAATGCTCAACACAGGTTACTCTCAGCTGCACAGAAATCTTGTTCAAATTTAATTTTGTTGAAAGTTAGATAGTTGAGAATTTCGGGGAGTTTTAAGTACAGGAAAAAAATAGTTCTTTGTGTAGTTTCTGTACGATTTCAAATATACTTTTGTCTTTGCTTCACAAGTTGCATTGGTTAATAACTGAGGCTAAAGAAATATTTAAAAATTACAGCTTGATCTGTTTACATTGATCCCTGCTAAATTCATTCTTATTGTCGACAAACACATTCGTTCTTGCAAGGCCCCAACTCGACCAGAAAAAGGACGGACACGTTGCAAACCTAAAGACAACGAATCATGCTCCTTTAAATCCCTCATCAGATATGGATTTTTTTAAAAAAAGCTAATTATCAGCGGACACCGGCTTTGTTTTTTCTTTTTCCTGTAAGCAGCTAAGAAGCAGTTACAGCACAAACCATCGGGTTTTATTCAGTATCCTCAAGGTAGCAAACATTAAATAAAGAAACTATGTAACCTCTAACCGGGCTCCGTACAATGTTGCAGCCTTTCAGGAACCTTCGGTAGGTTATCGATCCGCTAGAGATTTACCTCCAGTTCAGCCATAGGTTGCAGGCATCACCATCTATCGCTCGTCCTGCCGTTGACAACACTCCTCTTATCCATCGCTCCTGGAAGGCAGAAGATTCGTCAGTCCCGCATGTCTGATCTGCTTGGCGGCAAGAGCGATGAATAGAATCGTTATCAGCTGTCGGGGTTGGTTTGGTTGTTTTGGTTTTTGTTTTGGGTATTTTTTTTTTTTAAGGGAAGTTCTCAAAGCGAGCGCCCTGCGAGTCCTTCACCCTCCAGGCGGGGCCGCCTGGGCAGACCCGCCGAACAACGGAGAAAGGCGCCTTTTTGGCTGCTGGGGGCTCGCTGGGATTTCCCCCCGCTCCAGACCCACGGCAGGAACCCGGGCGCGATGTTGCAAGAATCAGAACCAACAACGCGTGACACTGTGGCACTTACGCGCAGATGCCAAAGCCCCTGGCAGCGCCCCGAGGTCCCCGGCTGGCTCCGAGGGAGCGGGCTGGGCTACGGGGGAGCCGCGAGGCGGGGGTGTGGAAGCGCCGGGCCTCCCCAGCGGGGCCGCGCTCCCCGGGGGCATTTTGGCTTCGTTTGCTTCCCATTCTGGCGACGCTGGAACAAGGGAACTTCCAGCGCCGCCGCCGCCGCTGCCCCGCCGCCTCCGCGGCCCCTCCTCCTCCCCGTGCGTCGTATCCCTCCGCGCGCCGGCACGGCGCAGAGAAAGCGCCTTTCAGCCGCCCGCCCGCCGCCTTCCCGCCCACCCCGCCGACATCTTCTGCCACAGCCCGCCCGCCTTCCCGCTAATAAACGCGTAGCGCTCGCCCCTCTCTCCCCTCCGGCGCCGGACAGCGCTGGGGGCCGCCGCGGCAGCGGGGCGGTAGCCGGGGTCAGCAGAGCCCGGGTCCCCCCTTGCTGCCCTGCCTGGCCACCCCCGGCAGGCAGCGCCGGGGACTGGGGGGGCGCGGGGAAGGGGCGGCGCGCGGGGCCGTGGGGGCTGAGGAGGGGGCGCGGAGGAGGAGGGGACTCTTTCTCCTGGCGGAGGGATCGCGCTCGCTCGCTCGCGCTGGCTGGCGGCGGCGGCGGCGTTGGCGGCGGGCGGCTGCGAGTTGTTGTTTCCTCCTCCTCCTGCTGCTGCTGCTGCTGCTGCCCGTGGGTTGAATGGTGGAGCCGAGACTCTCCCCGGTGAACGAGCAGTGACAGCGACCGGGCGGGCGCATTTCGCTGGGACCCGACGCTGCCGCGGGAGCGCGGCCCGGGCAACCCCCCTTCTCCCCCTTTCCCCCCCTCCCCTCCCCGGTTTTCGCCTCGCCATGTCCGGGGACGGCGGCAGCCGGCACACGGCGGAGCTGCGAGCGGGTGAGTGGTGGCCGGGGGAGCCGGAGAGGGGCGGCGGGCAGCGGGAAGAAAGGGAAGCCCGCGGGAAAGAGGCGAGCTCCAGCCCTGACGGCCTCTCCTCTCCCCGCAGAGCTCTACTTCCTCATCGCTCGCTTTTTGGAGGACGGACCATGCCAGCAAGCGGCTCAGGTAGGGGATGGAGGGATGGATGGATGGAGGGACGGATGGATGGATGGCGCCGCCGGGCCTGGTGGGGAGGGGGCGGCCGGGCAGGGCGGCTGATCGGGCGGCGCGCTGGCCGCCTCGTCCTCCTTCTCCCTTTTTCTCTCTTTTTGAAACCTTTCCTCACGCCCCGCTTTTGTTTTGCTGCAGGTCCTGATCCGAGAAGTGGCGGAGAAAGAGGTAAGAGCGGCGCCGTGCACCCGGCTCTCGCCCCGCCTGCGGCCTCCCTCCCCCTTCCCTCGCTCCCCGCTTCCCCCGCCCCATCCCGGGCGCTGCCGGGGGGCTCCTCGGGGGAGGGGGGAGCCGCTCACGGGGCGCCCTCTCTTCCCTCCCTTAGCTGCTGCCCAAGCGCACGGACTGGACGGGCAAGGAGCATCCCCGGAGCTACGAGAACCTGGTAAGAGGAGCAGGCGCTGGTAACAGGAGAGAGCGCTGCGACGGGCAAAGTTGTTTTTCCCCCTCCCTCCGTCTCTCTGAGCAGCCCGGTAAAAAAATTGAATTTCCCGCAAAAAAAAAAAAAAAAAAAGGGCAGCAACTTAGGGGGGAAAAAAAGCAACAAAACTTTGGGATTTATGTTTTTTTATTTTTAGATTTTTGTGACAGCCTCTGTCCCTCCCTGCGCCCCCCGTCAGTGTCCCGGGGCGGGCTCGGGCCGGGGTCCGGCCGGTGCCCGCCCGAGCGGGGTCAATAACAACGCGCGCGCCGGGCCCGGCCGCGCTCGCCTCGCGACGTCACGGACGCGGCGCGGGCGGGCGCCACAGCCGCGCGCGCGGCGCGGCGCCGGGCGGGGCGGGGCCAGCGGCGGCGGGTGCCGGGGCGCGCGCGGCCGTGCGGGGGCGCTGCGCGCCGGCCGCCCGCGCGCGCACAATGGCCGCGGCCCGGCCCCGCGCCCGCCCGGCCCCGCGCTCCGCTCCGGCCCCGCGCTCCGCTCCGGCCCCGCGCCCCGCTCCGGCCCCGCGCCCGCTCCGGCCCCGCGCCCGCTCCGGCCCCGCGCCCCGCTCCGGCCCCGCGCCCGCTCCGGCCCCGCGCCCGCCCGGCCCCGCGCCCCGCTCCGGCCCCGCGCTCCGCTCCGTGGCTTGGGGCTTTTTATACACCGCGCGGTGCTGCGTGCGAGTAACCGGGCTTGCCGGGGTCACACCGCAAATTTGACTTGAGTGGATTTTTGGTTGGTTCTTTTTTAAGGTTTCCTTGTGTGTGCTTTTCGTCTCAGGTTAGATCAGTAATAAAACGAAGTGTTACTCTCAGCGATGTAGCTCTGGCTAGCAGAGAGGGGCCTGGATTTTTTTTCCCTAACATGTTGGTAACTGCAGCACTTGGGAAAACAGCAATTAAAGTGTCCGAATTATCTCTTAGCAACTTGTTGCTAGTACAGTTTTCATTGCAGGTACACTATTGTATAATTTAGTCTCTGAATTCCTGAAAACGGTTTAAGAGAAAGACTGAGCCTTGTTTATGATGCTCATCAAAGAGAGATTTCTCTTGCTGGTTGCTTGTAGTTGTTCTGAGCTGCAGTACTTCTGAAACAGATATGCTGAGAACTTTTGAACTTGCACAAAAGGAGACAGAACCATTTCCATTTGTAATGCCTCTGATAAAAACTGTTGCCACATGCATTTTCTTAATTATATAACAAATGCTATAGTATGAAGCATAGGTATTTATTGTAGTTAGAACAGGTTTATTTACAGCATTGCTTTCTTTCTTTAGCAAGAGTTACATTGGCCACAGGCATTGTCATGTGTATGGTGTGGAAGAGTTGACAGCAACTAACTTGTGGAAAACATAAGAATGCTTATCAGTACCTTTTAACTTTCCTGAAATAAAATATGAAGAAACTCAACTGGGAATTTCAAAATGCACGATATATTACACTATTCTTATTTACTTATTTATTTGTAAGACTGTGAGGCTGTTTTGCCCACTTCAAGGAGTTGCTTGGTAAAACTTACTGATACCTGTTCTCTTTTATCCTATAAATTATAAAGACTTGGAGGTACAGTCATAGTGTAGCATGGAAGTGAGTTTCTTCTATATAGTCAGAGTATAAAAGGATGTGAAGAAAGGAAAAGTGAGGAAAAAAGACATTTTAAAGTTTAAAGTAAAAAGAGTTGGTGAGAAATAAGTTCATTCAGACCCTTTCCAAGAAACTTTTTTATGGATTGCAGGTAAATACCAATTTAGTCAGTGTAGGTCTGTAATAACATAAGATGTACTTCCTCAAACTTTGGACTTGATGCTGGATACTTATATTCAGAGCGGTGGTGCTGACTAAATCCTTTCTCTTTTCCTAGTCTTTTATTCATAACAAAATTTCCTTAGACTTATTAATAAACATTTCTAAGTGCTTTCCCACCTTTTCCCTACCTAGATTTTGGGGGGTGTGTGTGTAATTGGTTATTTTGTTCTTGATGCTTCCCTCCATCCTGTATTTGTTCTTGCCTTAGTTGTCAAAGCTATGTGAACTTTGTATTACTTGACATTTTAGGCATGTGGAAGCTGGCACGGAAATGTATTTGCAGCATGGCAGTTACATTTTGTACAAAAGAAGAGTTGAGGAGTTTTTCTCTCTGTCCTCTTTCATTAAACAAAAACTTATTTGTTTCAAACCAAAGGATTCTTAGCTTTTGAGATAGAAAATTATTGAACTAACATTGTTTCTCTCTCTTTTTTTTTTTTTTTTAATTTTTCCAGCGTTAAGATGCCAACTCTTCCTTCTCAAGATGGCACATTTTGCCATGTTTTAATACCTTTTCTCAGACATGAATGTCCTAAGCTTTCACTAAACTTTGTAGAGAGGTCTGAAGGGTTAAAAGGCTAAAAAATAAAATTGCCAGTAAATGTAGGGCTAGATATCTTATTTTTATTCTGGGATAGAATAATGGCTTTGTGTAACTGGGATGAAAATTAATCCCAAGTTTCTCTTTTGTTGTGTAGAAAATCATGCTTTTTATTATATTTATATTTTTGTAAAATAATTCCTTTAATATATATTAATATATTTTCAAGATATTATGATATTTCTGATTTGGTCCTCATTTGAAAGCATTTATTGAAGAATTTTTATTGGAGTTAACTTTTTGTTATTAGACTGGAATTCACAGCCCTAGATGTTTAATTTCTGTTACTTAATTTGTGCAAATAATGTTAAATCTGGTGCAGTTTTCATCTTGCAAGTTACTTTCATTTTTCTGTTTGGCCAGTGAAAGTAAATGTTTCATTTTCTTAAATAAGCTGATACCATGCTGTGGATGTTTGTAATGCTACAGGCAAATACATGAGTTTAGAAATGCTATTATATTACGTTCTTAAATGGTTTTTCTTGAATTTCAGTATTCCTCTATTGTATTTTTCTAGAGTCAGCATGTGTGGTGAAATAAATAACTTGAATGTGGCTTTGGTAGTGTAGGCTCTTATTTCAGAGCGTTGATATCATTTTAATATTGCCAGTATTAAGATTTCTATTTGTGCTATAACCCTAGACCCTGTGAGAATTGAGTCCTTGGTAGGTCTACCAAGCATGATGGGTGACAGATCTTCAGTAACAGATCTCAGGATGTTTTGTGATCTTGCTTTTGTTGTGAAAACTTGCAAATTGTAGGCTAGCTTATTTTCTCTCTTTTGAAAGATTAAGGTTTTCTCACTATGGGGGACAGAAACTGAGAAATTTTAAGAGTTAACAGCTCATTTAACAGCAGAGCAAGGCAGGGTGAATTTGTTTAGACATTGTGGATAAGATGTTTAAGTGTTATGTTACATCGTTAAACTTTGGAACACTTTTGTTAGGGCCTTTACACGAGCAAGCTTCGGTGCTTCATTTGACTCCAGGGTAATTGTTTTTTTTTCATGTTGCAGTTTCCCTATGGGTGTAGCTGCTCTAATTGTATGCTGTGGATGAAAGCTGTGCATTTCTACTGCATCCTTTGTGTAGGCACTAGTGCTCATTCAAATGTGTGGTTAGGTGGATGAGGCAGCTGACCTGTCTGAAAAATAAACAGTAATTTTAAGATGGCTCAGCTCTTCTTGTGTGCTACACCATGGGTCTTACCAACACCATGAGGGAGATGATAGGAGTGGGTGTGGAGGGGTTGGAGACTGTGTTGCAGTTGCTTCT